CAGGAAATGGAAGTGTAAGTTTTCAGGAGAATGATTCAACTTTTTTGTTATCGTCAGCTCAGCAATGACAGAAAGTGGAGCTAGATGGTGCTTGAGTGGGATGGAAATAAATTAGATGAAGAATATGTCAGTGTCTCAGTTAATCAATGCCTTGCAAGAAAAGTGTCTTGCAAGAATGGCTTAGCTATTGTCATCTGGTAGGACATTTTCACCCTTACCAAGGCTCCCAGTAGCAGAACCAAACAGGGCCACCACGTAGAGCAGGTGACTTTGTGGTCAGGTAAGGCACATGATTAGCTCAGCAGGCTACCAGATCACTATGGTCTTTGAGAAGTGAATCCCTGATTTATACTTTAAAGTTTCTGAACAAAGTTTCCCCATGAGTCCCCACAGCTTGGTTGGGAAGACACTGGTTTATCCACCTGCTCATTTAGATTTTCTTTCCTTACCCCCATCACCATGGAGCTGAGGAGAAAAGGTGCAGAGGGAGGATGGCATCTGAGAAGGTGACATAGTGGTGTACCAGGTGAAGGAGTGTGGTGCAAGTGGTGCAGCGGATCTTGTCTGGACAGATGGATGCGTTCTGATTTCCCTGGATGCTGTCAATGCAGCCTTGCTGAGATGTATTACTAGATTGCTTTTCCCAAGTCAGTTCCAGTCTCCTGTGCAGTCAGTGGTGATTAGGACTAGTCATATTCATGTCGTACAAGTGTCTTGCTCTTTTGTAGTAGCAGTGATGAGGAGTCTGTGAATCACAAGACAAGTTTTTGGAGCTCTCCTGTCCACCTGGTTGGAGATGCTGTGCCCACATCTCTTTTCACTAAAAAGTTTTGGGTTTTACTGAAGTGAAAATATTGCCAACTGACTGATTTCAGTCAAGTTTATTTGGGGGAATAGGTCTTCATAAAGGTCTTTTTTAATTTAAAAATTCCAAATTTGATTTTTTTTAATTCTCAAATTACATTTAAATATTTTAAGCTCTTATTTTTTCTGATTTCCGTATTATTCCCCAGCATTAGCGTTGCACTGCTGCTGTTTTCCTATTTTAATGGAATGATATGATCTATTAAATATTCCTTTTTATAAAAAATATAGGCTAAAAATAATAGAATATTTCAGTGGGTATAGAGGTCTTTATGATAACATGATGATGCAGGTTGTGCGTAATTTTAATGCACATTAAAATAACAAAATTCTGTAAAAAAATAAAGCAAACAGTATGACGCCAAGCTGAATTCTGAGACATACAATCACTGAAATTTTTCCTTTGAGAGTTATCAGAATTACTTTCTGTTCTGGCACTTGAAAGAATGAAACCATTTAGAGTTTCTGTTAGGGAGTTTTGTTTTTTTTTTTTGGTGGTATTGAGGTCATTTTTCTTTCTTTGTTGGAACTCCAACTACTACCAAACTAACCACTGCGGTGTAACGGGGAGAGGAAGAAAACGGATGATTCAGTTGTAAAATATAGTAAGGAAAAGCCCACAAAAGCTAAATAATGTCATTGTTTTGGGGTCCTTTCATTGTATGTTCATTATCTACTTCATCATATGGGGAAAGATGAAAGTGCCAGCAACCCCTTGAACACTGCAAGTCTCTCTCGTACAGTGGTATGATGCTCCTAATCCTGGAAGGCTGTTCAGTGTGGTGCTTTAAATGCATTGCTGCTTCAGACCTGGTTGTTCTTTGGTTCCATATTTATGGGGAAAAGATAACATATTTGTGCAAAAAAATATTACAAGGGATTTTAAAAACTTTTTCAGGAATGTAAAATTTAGGAATATTGGAAAATGTCAGGGAAGGAATAAACTGTAGGTGAGGCGAAATATTAGAAATGTGATGAATGAGACTCACACACTATATGGGATGGATGCCATAAACACACATAACAGCACAGCAAGAGGTGGTTGGATATTTTTGGATGAAATTCCTAGTTTCATTAAAATCCTTAGCACCTTCACTTTTTTTCTGTTTTGTACCAAAAATGTTATTTCTACCATATAAGAAAACAGAAAAAAAATGAAGAAAATCTTAATGCAAAAGAAAAAACGTTTTCCTATGTTTTTAGCATCTCATACTCACTGTGACTGAAGGAACAGAAACTCTGGTGCATACTTGAGAAATCACATTTTGGTGTGCAAGTAAGAACATAGATCAACGAGAATGTTGATTATGCTGAAATTGTGAATTTTGCTTGTTTCAGAAAGTTTCCCAAGAGACCTCTTAAATCCCAATACTGAGGCAAAGGAAAGATCATTTAATATCTATATCTGGTTCTGCTCTACTCTGAATTGTCTCGGTGGGTTCAGACAAACTCTTTGTGCCTCGCTTTCCTCCACAGTAAAACCAGAAGAAGATGACTTGCTTTTGAAAGATGTTATAAGGCAGAGCTAACCAGCATTCATAAAGTGTTGGCAGGCAGAGAAGGGTCGAATTTTCTTGTGTTTTGACTGCAACCTATTGAGTGCTATGTTTCATATTCATGTTCTTATGTCAAATTGAAATTGGAGGTCAGTTTGTATGGAAGCAGAGGTGACTTGATCAGAAACTCTGTGCCTGTCACTTTATAACTGCAAAATGAAGTAGTGGTCTTTAAGCCATCACTTTCCAAAGTCCCCTTAGAAAGACCATTTGTAGGCTTAAAATATAAATAGTGGCTAAATTCTGGAGGTTTCCACACTCAGATAAAACATCATATATATGTCTATACATGCTGAAGTACTAGTATTGGTAAGCACTGATTCAGGCCACGACAGTGGGTGTTCACTTACAGTGCAAACCTAGCATCACATCCGGGAAGTCTGAGTCAACATTACAATCTTTTCTTTGAATCCAAGAAAGCGTAATAACATTACTTTTATTTACTTTATTATTAATAGTGCCACAGAGGTACCGTTGTACTTAGCTCTCTACAGGCGTAACACAAGGGACAGTCAACAGTCTGAAGAGCTGAGAATATATTTTGAAGATGTGATCCTAGAAATTTATCCAATTTTTTTCCAGTGGATCAATAGTAGCAAACACACAAAGTCTTTATTAGTCTGGTGTATTCATTTCTTTGGACTCTTGATAGAATTTTGATAGAATTAAAACTCCCATCAATATTTATACCACTTAGCGTTACTGAGAGTAAGTACATTTGCTTTAGCCTGAGCTGCAAATCATTTAGTTTTTTGTAATTACAGTACTGCTATTAAGTATTCATAAGGCTGTACAATATAGTGTCATAGGAAACCTATTTTAATTTAGTGGTCAGTCAATGTTTTAATTTCATGTAAAAAGAGAAGCTAATTTACCAAGCAGTCTCCCCTGTCTTTTCACATTCAGGTTTTGCAAGCCTTCTTCAGTTGATTGTATTCTAACTATTTTAAATTTTGAAAGCTTGGAATTTATCATGAAAAGACTTAGTCCTCTACTCAGTTCCGCTACAACTTACATATGTGCATGCTGTTGCGTATTATTTTGCAAGGGAGCATCTAAGCATAGGCTGGAAGAGGTCACTTACATCACACTGCCCAGCTCCTCAGTATCACCAGCACTGGAACATAAAATATTTTCATAAACTTCTTAAACTTCATGGCTCTCGACGAACAAATCTCAGGAATGGTACCTGTGATTTATGTTGCATGTGTTTATGTCTAGAAGTAAGACTCTTTCAGCTGGGAGAGTCTTTGACAATGTGTATAGATCCCTCTGAGGACATTGAGATTTTCACTCACAGAAGGAAAGAAAAGACAGGATGGACTGGTCAGTGATGGTTTTTTGTGTGCCTCTTTCCGCACCAGCACCCAGCGCTAATTGGGTGCAGCACAGTGTGCAGTGGGCACAGGGCACGATGCCTTGGGTTCAGGTCTCTTGAAATTAGTTCTGGAGTAATTCTTTTCTGGTAATCAGAGGGAAGGGGCTGCTTCTGTATGAGGAGAGACTACACAGACTGGGGTTTTTTACTCAGCAAGTAAAACAAGGTGTCTGTAGAGGACTGTGACAGATACAGTGTTAGCTACGATTTGTATCCTGTGCAATGTTTCTTAAAAAACTTCTTCCTGAGTAACTGTTCCTGACCACTATAGAAATGAGTATTATACCAGAGAAGCCTTTTCTCTGTGCCAGTGTAGCAGTTGCTATAGTATTTTTCTAGCTGGCTGCAACTGAAGCAATCATCTGATATCTAAATCCAAGAAGTTACCTGGAGGGGGTCTCTGAAGCAGCAGTTGTGGGACATTTTAGAAAGCTTTTGGGAACGCGTTGAGCATCTCATTTGTGGAGAAGCTTATGTGCCTCCTGTCTAGCTTGGTATGCAGTGTCAGGTCCCAAAGCAGCAGCATCACATTCGTCCAGCCGTATTTCATCTGATCCTGAGTTAGGTCCACAAGACAGGACATGGTGCTGTTCAGTGTGGACTTGCTGGAGTCAGCCCACAGAGCTTCACACACATGTCACTGCCTATGCGCAGGTGGCCACAGTCAGCAGGGAATGCTGGAAGACTCAGACCTTTCCTTCACGAACCAGCTAGTCAAGGAGACCAAAGCTTAAAATCTGCTAAACTATATCACACTTAGAAGAGCATAGGATGGATTAAAGGTTGATCTTAGCTTCAAGGTGAAGACCTGACTTCACTCATGCAAGTGGGAATTTTGTCATTCGTTTCAGTAGAGCCAGTGTCCCATCTGGACTTTGCAGTACTCTGTTAGCTCTAGGTTAGGCATGAATGGATCTTGTATGCAGAGTCACAAATGGGTTGTCTGACATTTCATCTTGGTTTTGCGTACCTTAGCACTGTGAGATACAAATATGTCCAGGGAGATAACAAAAAAAAAACCCATATGAAAATTCTTTGCAAAGGTGTGATTTCATTTTGACATGTCTACATAATCTATTTTCAAGAGAATCGAGGCCAGAGGGGCAAAACAAAGCGTATGGGGGTTTCTTCACTGGGGTAGACATGTACCCATGACAGATCCTTTAATTTCTAACTGTCCTTTCTAACTCTCTCCACTGCAGGACAAGGTCTCTTCTCTGGGCATTGAACTCCCAGCTCCCTACGCCTATTGCCTGTGATGGAAGAACTTGATGTTAATGTGAGGTAGGATAAACTGCATGGCTTGCTCTCACCTCTCTCATCTAGCTGGTGAGCTGCAGGAGGGCAGTGATGATATGATGTGCAGTGATGTTGCAAAGCTACAGAATGTTATTTTCTGTTTGCCTGTAGATGAAGGTCCCTGCTCATGCAGCAGTGCCTGGTTTGGGGTTTCTGTGAGAAGTTCTCTGTTATTTGTAGTGTTACTCTGTTATTTGTATAAATGCAAGGTGTGGCTTAGCCAAGTCAAGGACTTCCTTGTGGCAGAATTGCATAAGGCTCCATCAAAAACTGGGCATAAGCTCATCTGTATCTGCTGCAAGTCTGATCCTAGTGTTTGCTCCTTTTGGTACAATGTTCTAAAAACTTACAACCGGATCTCTCTCTTCTTTTACTGGGGCAAGAAGTAACATCTCTGAAATCAGTTCAAACGTGGGCACACTACTGGTATCAGTGAGAGAGAAATTACAGAAATTCCTGCTTATGTATCAGGAAAGTCAGTAGTAACTTCAGGAGGCTTCAGCAAACTCAGGTTAACTCCAGGGAACACCCTGACCTTGGTTTGTGCACAGCTCACACTAATGGGGGGGGGGGTTGTCCCACACAAGATACTTGCTCTTTGCCATAGATTTGGTCTCATCTCGCAAAGGTAAATGAAGTTCTGTCATCAGCTTCAGTAAGACTCAGCTCAGACCCCCTGATAGTTGAAGGTGAAGCCCAGCCTCCATGTGGCATGGAATTCCTATTCCTCTTCTTGTCACCATGCACATTGGTAAATGTTTTCTGAAACCACTGCTTTAACGCACGCTTAGCAGGTCACATTTATAACCAGGTAGTCAAGGTAGTGTGTTTTGCTTAATGGTATCTGTCTGACTTTTTATTACCGGAAGTATAGTTAGATGCTTATGCTATTGCTCTTTCTCTGTAAAGGGAATTAAGCTGCTGACATTAGAGAATTTTCTGTATAGCCTTTTTCTTCCTTTCCTTAAAGACACTAGAAAAAAAATCTTCTGTTTCTGACTATGATGAAAAAATCCCCTAATATTCATTTCATCTTTTGCATTCAAAATTCATAGGAGGAAAATCTATCAGTTCATAAACACTGAGAGGCACAGAGAAACACTGGCTCAGCCAGTGCCTGAACCACAAATGAATGTGAACCTAGTGTCTACACCAGGAGGGAAGGGTGACACTGTTGACATTGTATTAACCTCGACCTTATATTTTTTCAGTAGTGTGCTATTTGCCATTAGTGGAGACAGGCACTGAGTCGGTCTGATCCAACATGGATGTCTTCTAAGTGATCGGGTGGATTTTTATAGTTCACTCTGGCAACAGCTGTAAGAGCCAAAACATCATTGTCCTTTTCTTCCTGTTTCTGAGCGTCACTATAGTTCCTAGCAGCCTTCACCATGGTCTAGGCAAGGGTGAACAGTGCTACTATGCCCCTGCCCATTTATAGGATGTGATTGCAGGTGTGTGCCCTTCCGCTCTCTTATTCAGGTTGCAGCTGCATGTGCCCATGGCGCTCGGTGCTGAACAAATACAGAGCAAAAAGGCTGCCACCAGTTGTCTCCAGGGATTTTCTGTGAAACTCTAAATAAAAATCTCACTCCCAGACGAGCCCATGAAAACTAACAAGGAGTCACAATAGTCATGAATTGACATCTTTGAAAATTCAGGCTGATGCTTCTGAAAGTTCCTTGGCAACTCGTTTACTCCTCCTTTGCACATGAAATAGTCCTTATGCTCGTGGCACATTACTGCAGCTAAAGTAGACTGTTCTCAGTAAATAAACAAACAAACAATAAAAAGGTGATTCCTAGGAGAATTAGGCTTTGTGAGTGTCTTACCTGTCTCCGCTCCTGGTTGCAATGCTTTCCAGGGCACTGTGGAGCCTAAGTGAAGTGAGAAGTGCTGAGGGGACGGAGCCATTTTGCTGCCATGGGGATACTTCTCTGCCAGCTCCTCGGGAGCGTGGGTACCGCGGAGGGGCTGCAAGGGCAGAGCTGAGGAGGGTTAGGGCCTTCGGTCAACCTGCTGCAGAAAATGCCCTTTGCAGCTGCCCCAGGCAAAGGGTTTTCAGCAGCAGTCCCTCAAGAGACTGCTTTCTCCTGGAAACTGGTTAGTGTAATCAACTCATTTGGTCCTATCCTGCCAGAGCAGTGGAAGGGTCTCTGAGAAGAGATTTCTGCTTTGGTAAATTACGTCATCCGTCTTCCCGCTTAGATTTTAAAAGGCAGCATAAAATATTCTTGGGGGTCTGACAAATGCTAATCCATGGGAATTTGAAAGCTCTCCTAAATAAATATTGATCCAACATTTCCTAGTTGTTTTGATCAAACACTGTGGTCAGATCTCACTTTCATTTTACTTCAGGAATGGTTATATTTCTTTTTTCCTAGTAGTTCTATTTCTGAACTGTAATAACAGTCCTTCACTTTGCATGACTGGTTGTATATGTAGTACTTCCTTCTATGCATATATTTTTATTTTGACTCCACATTCTTCCAATATGTGAACTTCTGTTTTTTAGCACTTTGGCTGTCAGCTACCAGTAAGTAGCTGTTATTTCCCCTTTCTGTCCCCTATTTTCAGCTTTTTTGACGAGATGTGAAATAGTGAACTCTTTTTACTGAAGCCAAGGATTTCCAAATGTTGTTTTTCAGAGTTGTGCAAAGCCATATCATGAGTCAGAGAGATTAAAGTACTCCAGTCCTCACTCACCCTCCCTGTGGGGCTCCGAAACGCTTCAGTGGAAAATCCATATATGAAGGGGAGCAAACCCTGGGGAAACAGGAGGTGCTTTGACAACATACATAGGGACAAAAGCAGGATGGATGGATAGAAGGACAAAATGACTTTGTTTTGAGCTTAGCGCTGAGAAAACAGCATATTGCTCTTTGGTTCAGAGAAACAAGTATCTCAGTTGTCCTAGTGATTTTGATGAGGTGCCCCAAAGGATACCAAACCTTTCTGGTGATGAACAGCTTTACACCTCTGTAGCTACCTGAAGCATTGCAGGCAGATTCAGCTGTACAAATGTTGTAGGGAATGTTTAATTTACATGGAAAAAGGTAGTTATGAATTTTACAAAGGCTGCAGTGTGAAGTTAGAGAAACATTATTGGAAAATATTAGACAGTCTGCTTTGGGACTTGTATTTATCACAGCTGAGGGGGTAGCAGACCTCATTTTCTCTAATTCTAGATTTGAAAAATAAATGACCTCACAGGCATTTCAGATTTATATTTTATAAGATTTTTTTGATTTCTTATGACTTGGTGATTATTATTGGACACATTTATTATATGCAGTGGGTTAATGAGTTACTGTCAAGTGGTTTGAAATGAAAATTTGAACTCTTCAGTGGGTTAGAATGTGAAGGAAAACTGTTCTCTTTTTTGTAGACAACTTTGTAAAAATATAGTACAATAGCTCTCCCTGCGGACCAGCTCTAGCCAAGCAGACACTTAATGAACACTGTCACCATATGCTGTTTGCTGCTTACGCCTTCCTGCCAAAGGGCAGGAACTCCTGCAAAATGCCCTCACCCGAACTCTCAGTGACAGAAGCTTTGAGGAAGCTCCCACCCCAGCAAAGGAATTTTAGAAGTTCTCCATTTATTCCCCTGTGAGGAAGATGTATTTTGTGTGCGGGGTTAATCTATGCGGCAAATCAAGGGAGAAGACCAAGAGAGCACTTTTGTTGGCCCAAAGTGCACCAGCCATGCAGAAGATAGAAGGTGTTTGAGTTTTGGACAGGTTTTGTACCAAACACGTGACTTTGGGAGATGCCTCTTCTTCTATTTGAAGGTTGCGATGCACCACTTTGACTCTTCTGTTTGAAGTCAGACCTGGTGCAAGTATTTTAGGAAGCAGATTGCTGTACTTTGTGTTGCTGCCAAAATATTTGCCCAAGGTTCTGATGAACTTGTACAAACTTTCAAAACATGTCTGCAGTTCTCTGTCAGTTTTACTATAGTTTGGTGCATTAAACAATTTCATTTTCATACAACAGCCATAATTGTGACAGCCTTGGAGACAGTGGAAAAAGGTTGACTCTCTTTGGGCACAAGAGGAAAATGGTATTCTCTGAATATGCACAGAGATGGCTTTTGTGCAGTTTGTTTTACTGCCTCTGCAGTGGCATTTTGATTCAGAGCAGTAGTGTAGTTTTGAGTGAATTCCCCAGTCATCCCTATATGTGGTGTATTGGTTCAGATCACATAGCACTTAGGGAGCATATGAACTACACTCCTTTTTTGAAGAAATTAAACCAGAAGTTCCACGCCAACCATCTTCCAATCCTTAATGAGGATAGAGAGGTCTGAACAAGTTAGGGGTTGAAAACAATGCAATGTTCATGTTCAGGCGTAGCGATGCCTTTCAGGCAAGGGGACTGGCCTCAGTCTAGTTCAGAATAACCCCCTCTGTCCTCTAGGTGTAGGACCCTTGTACCAGCTGTTTTGGTCTACTCGTCTGCTCCTATGGTGCCAAATTACCAGCTATTATAGACATAGTTTGTACGTACATAAGTCACCTGGGTATCCATGGGCTCTCATTTTTCTGAGTACAAACCAGAAACCAGGTTGGCTCCTACGGTGAGAGTTAGGTACATAATAACTCTGCCTATACAAACTGTGAAAGGAGCTTCCTTATACCAAGAATGGCCTCTGCAGACCTGGCTGAGGAAGCCTAGGAGGCCCTAGGAGGGAGGGCTCTCCTTCCCTTGAGCACTTGCCAGTGCAGGCTGCAAATCTGCTGTGCACAAAAAGAACTGAGCAATAGCCTTATTAAACACTTTTAAAGCCTTCCTAGGCCTTTGATTAGACTTTCATCCTCTCACTGCATACTGTTCTCTTTAGTCAGGGACAAAGTAAGACCCTATCAGCATGCTATTCACTTTGTATCTCACAAGAACTAAATCTGACTCCTTTACTCTGCTGGGAGCACAGATGAGTGAAGTTCTGCATGCCAGTTTTGAACAGCCTGGTTGGACAGTCTC